GACTCAGTTATGAATTTTTTAAATTTTGATGAAAATAATCAAAAATGGGTTATATCACCTAGTATAGGTTTTCACTCGATTCTTGCATTTTGTTCTGAAAGCTAACACTACCACGAGATTGCGGATAGTCGATAAGCTATGTTTTCATGTGTTTACAATAGTGCCACACTTAAACAAAGAGGAGTCCTAGGGCTTCCTAAGGAAAAACTGCCTGGTTTGCCTAAACCGTACAAGATAGAACTTTTGTTTAGATCTAGTTCTGTAGGGGATACTCTGAGCTATCTATCCATACAATAAAATCAATAGACTTCTATGACAGTTTTCAGAAATCCAGCGTGGTTTTCCAGCGAACCTTTGAAAAACCGGTTTTGGAATTTGTTTTTAGGAAAGATCTTGCCTGTGAAAATATGCTCCTGGATCTTGGCTGTCAAACGATGGAAACCGCAGGTCTTCATCTTGTTCCTATCAAAATTTATTCAAAAAACAATCGAGTGCGTTGACTTCTGGAACAGATAATAGTCTAATCTACCCAAACCCGACAGCTCCATCTACGATCGTTCGGACAGTAGCGAACTTTTCGGTGTCTCAGGAAAAGTTCGGACCTCTTGTTGGGCCTATAAATTCAGAATAATGACACCAATCTAAAACCACAATATCTTATCCCATAGAGGCGAGTATAGTGAACAGCTTTTCATGAACAGAATGTTTTTGGAATGTTGCATTGAGGAGGCGTGTTGCGCAAGAAAAGCTTTTTGCACTAGGTACAAAATAGCTGGAAAAATCGACTTTTGGTAATTTTGAAAGTTTTATAACTCCACTAAAGCTTATCCAACGCGCGAGTTATTGCAACCCAGATCCTTGGAGGTGTTCTCTACAAACTGACAAAATTTGAGGGTATGTTTAGGGAGAGGGAACACTCCCTCCCCCTTAAGAAAGAATCTTATTAAAAATCGTAATAGTTATTAATCAGATCCTAACAGATTCTCATCCAATCTTACAAAAATGTAAAGCACATTAGCCCTTTTCTTTATAAGATCTTACTATAAAGTCTTCGAAAATCTTAAGAGATCTTGAAATTTTGGAGTCTCACGGCCTTAATGATATTTGTCTAAAGGAACTTAAGACGATAGTAGTAAGTTACTGACTGGAGAAGTCTCTTAAATTGAATATTAGATAAACATTTAAATTTCATCCTTCACTGCAAAAACTAAAGTGTGCCCGAAGCATACTAGATGTGCGGATCAGGTTAGGCTTTTTTTTCCACATGGAAATGGTTTGTTCAGTATGCTAGTAACACACTTGAATTGCACATATAGCTTCCATAGACAGAACCAGAAAAAAGCCGAAGAGAAGAAGAATTCTTCCCTTTCTTTCCATAGAGAAATGCAAAAGAAAAATTCAGATTACACAGAGACATGACCTGAAATGCACACTATCACTCTTAAAAAAATGTGTTCTTCAGTTTTTCAGAGAAGTGAAAAGTCAACGGGAATTTTGTACTTCATTTGTCCGAAATAGAGAACTCAAATTCTATTCTTCAGCTCTCATTATAACTAGAAGTATAAATTTGTTTTTAAATTTTTCAAAGAATGAAAAAAATCATTTTCTTAAAAACTTAAGAACAAATTTAGAGTTCTTGAGAGCTGAAAAACAGAATTTGAATTCCCTATTTGGGACAAATGAAGTACAAAATTCCCGTTGACTTTTCACTTCTCTAAAAAACTGAAGAACATACTTGCAGTCATTCGTGGGAGGACGCCACAACAAGAGCCAAAAATAGGCGTCTACCACAAGCAAGAATTCTCATTCCAAGTAAATGACAGAGAGCTCTAACTTTTTTTGTTTTGCAGTACACACATATAGCTAGGAGTTGGCAGAGTCTGATTGTTGAATTTCTCATTTATTCATTTCTGGTGCTTAATGGAACTTTAAAGTCTGAAAAATCCTTGGAAGGTTTCTTAGAAATCCTCATTTCTGTAAAAACTGAAAGTATAATTTAAAAATCGGACTGGGTCAAGTCCTACTCTCTAAAAAAAAGGTTTATCACGAAACTTAAAAGGGTATAGAGGAGTGCAACCATTTCTAAACCCTTTTAGGTTTCGTAGAATACATGATGCAGTGCGAAACCGATTAAGTGCATAAATTCTACAGTTATAGTACATTCCAAAATAGACACTTTGGGCTATCCAATCATGCATAAGTCTCAAAATTGATATTTTTGAAGAAAATTGCCTTTTCTGACAGGGGAGACCGTAAAGTGTATGAAATAAAGCGCATTGATGCCTTGCCGTTAGGACACTAGGCTGTTTTGTTTTATGTATCTCGACGACGCTCAGTTTATGTTATCGAACGCATTGGCGTCGTAGTATCAATAGTTAGTATTTCTAGTAGTATTTCTTTATACGTATACATACAGTACTGACCAAAATTATAGAAACGGTGGTTCGAATTACATATGCACCAGTTTTTAACTGGTGTTGGGGGACATCCGGAAAAATTGATATGCATTGGTTATCAAGATTTGCTCATAGCTGCGGAACGTCTCATTTTTCTAGTATACGTGACGAGTGTCTTAAATTTATTGAATTAGAATAAGATGCGACTCTTGCTTTAGTTCTAGTGTTTCTAAAAAGTCCAGAATTCCTTTGTGCTAATGATAATGAGACTGGTAGTGTAGACGCGCTAGCTTTGAGGACACATGAATTAGGTGCGTCATGTTCCACTAGTCTGAGATACATTTCTGGTTTACTAACATTCAAACTGCCACAATTCTTTACAATTTACAATTAATTTTTTACTAAATATTTTTAATGAATTCTGTATAAATGGTACGTTCGTTTTTCACGTGGCTGATTGTCAACATGATCGGTCGAGTTTGAATTGTTCAGATTAGAAAATAACATTTTAGCAACAGGAACTCCTATTAGTGTATCTACGAAATTTGATCTAGAAAATGAAAAGTATCTTTATATGTATATTTACCAAGGGGGAAAAGCACCACTTCACTTCGTATGGGGAGCGCCTACGCCGTCAATAGATGGCGTTTTTGTACCTGAAAGACGAGATCTTAAACGAATACCGTCTTTATGTGTCTTTGGAAATCCGTATAGTTTTGCGGGTCTCGATCCCGTAAGATGACAACGTATGTATTCTGATTCAGAAATTAAGTTTCGTTTTTTCAATTTAACAGAAGACGTATAGGGTAGATCACCTTTTAAGATCGTTGGATGCTTACCCAACTTTTCAAATGTTGTAGTATCCATTATAACAGAGCATTGATCTTAGCTACATAATCAAATCTATTAAGAATAACTACACCTCTACCTTTATCTAGACGAGTTATAACGATAGATTTGTCTTTAGCTAGCTCGCTCAAACATTTGTTAAAAACCGTCCTCTGACGTATTAAAGGTTTTAATTCTCTTTTCACATGCAAACAAAAACTGTCCACGTATGATATCAGTCTTCCAGCAACTTGAAGTTGTTGTTAGGTTTCTCCTAACTTGTTCAAATCTTGACTTGTATGTACAAATGGTTTATTGAGAAAGCAAAAAGTACATCCTCCAGTACAGATACAAGCCTGTGTATATATATATAGTCGAGAAAAATATGTAAGAAAAGATAACGTAACAGAAAACATGATGTAATATAAACAACGATATCACAGGAAGGCATGATGCGATAGTGACTATATGATAAATACATTTTCTGATTCTATTATATAACAACGCAGTAGTTTTAATGATGTTGCTGCATCTCGGTCCATCTTAGGTCTCGTGACCTAACAGTCGTTCAAAGGATAAAGTGTGCAACGCACAGGAAAGTTATGAATTTTCTTAATGGTTCGAGCGCATCACTCGGAATTTTGATATTTCGTAATCAGCATCATAGAATTAACAAACTAAATCTATGTAAATATTTTTCATGTCTGAAACACAGCCAGACGCGTTTAAATGCACTCAGAAAGACAAGTGCGTTTAAACGCTTCAGACTCCAACGTACAAAAATTTAGCCTTTTCAAAACACGTCTAAATGCGTTTTCTTCTCAGATTAAAAATTCACATTGACAGTTGAATGTTTACATGATACGTATATATCAACTTACTTCCAGGAGATGAGAACTTTCCCTTGCCAGCAGCTAATTAAACATATGTACTATTTCAAGTTGCTTTTAACTCGAATTACAGACACATCAACAGTGATTGAACGGTATAGGTTTATTTCAGATTTGCTTCAGTATTTTTTAATTTAAAATTTCTGAATATGTTCAAATACTGTCTTAAAGTCAGGGATCACGCAAGATTTTCTTATCTGATTCGATATTGGGTTTTATTTGATTCGTAGATAAATACGAGTGAACTATCGCTACTTAGCAAATTAACTTTTTTAACGAGTCTATTCTTGTCGTGTGATCGTTGTTAAAATCATTTTAATTGTCCACAATATCATGACAATAATCATTAGCTTAACGGCGGATTCCATACTTAGATGGATAGATGAATCGTTTGTAGCTAGTCTATCGACTATTTTAACGAGAGTTGCATTTTGTTCGGCGAGTGTAGCTGTTAAACAAGTATTTGGTTGAGATAATGTGTTTCGGATTATTGATCGAGAAAAATTATCAATGAAATCATCATCAATAACACTTTCATTATTTCCATCATCACTTGTGATGCTACTTGTGCTTTCTTGGCGCTTAAAATCGTTAATAATATCTTCTGGCATGTTGAACAGTTCACGTAATTTTTCGATTAATCGAATTAATTCACGCCTTCTTAGATGTTTCAAATCTTTGTTGGTCTTATTTATAGACTTTTTGTAATCTTTAATTATTTTATCAAAGTTTGAAAGTGTAGCACTATCTTGTCGTTCATATTGAGACGGTCTAACTGTAGTTCGCACAGAATTTGCTGAAATAAATAGCGAATTTATCATGATCTCACCTAGTAAAGTCAGTTTCTGTTGTGGTTGCATGAAGAATTTACATACCTCTACTATAAATTTCATTTGGTGTCTGACTTTCAATATGTTTTATTTCATTAATCAATAACTGAAATGCATCATTAAATGGTAATGTAGCAAAATCAATGTGCAGTTGAGAACCTTTAATAATTCCTAACCAACTTTCACAGCGAAAGTTTTCTTGCATCATACAAGGAATAAATGGTATATAATTTTCGGCTGTATACTCTGCTTCTAAACAATCGAAATGAACAAACAGATTTAAGCTGCTATAGTGCAAGTGTTTACTAGTAGTTAATAGTCAAAAGAGTAAATTATTTACCCTTCCGACAATAAGGACTATTGTAATATCCATCGTTAATACACAGTAAAACAATATAAGAACTCTCCACAGCTCTTGCCATTGCTTCTAGAATATTTCCGCGTAAATTCGCAACATCCATCCAAACTTCGTATCCCAATGCCTATGAGGGAAAATTAGAGTTATACATGATATAGACTCTCACCATTTCTTTACCTTTAAACCATCACATATTTGTTTTGACTTTTCCGAAGACGATCGATTATAACTGATCATAATATGACCTTCATAAAAACCGGATTATAATAAAAAGAACAATGTTTTCTAAATATTTACGTTTCTTTTTCTTAGTAGTCTGATCATCTGTTGTTGTTTTTCGTTGTGCCTCAGGCGAATTTTCTATAAATACAATAAATTACTAGCTGCCAAATTAGAATGTGATAACCACACATTTTTTTATCCCTTAACTTACTATTTAGAATTGTTTCTTCTGAGTATGGCGTTACACGTCCCGATTGTAATTCACTAGTTTCACTATTCAACTGAGTTGTTGTTATTGGATTGTTACTATTAGCTGACAAACACATTTGTCTCCAACTACTGGATAAGTTTTCCAATACTGTATCTAAGAAAATGATAAGTTTTTCAATTCCTCAGTTGGCAATGATGACAGTTTTCCGATCTACCCTCAGGCTCTTCACGACTGCATTCATGAACAGATTCATTTTCTTCTATATCAGAATGGTGAACAGATTCTACAAAATAATAGATAGTTTTTTCAAAGCTTAAATGATAAATACTAATATTTATTTACCAAAGGTTTCAAACTTAATCAGTTTATCGATTTCATCTGCACCTAAACGATTTTCTATTACAGTTCAAATACAGACTATATTAAATTTTTTGTTAATTACTGGTGGTTTCGACACCCATCGTGCTTGCATCAGTGGACGGTACCTGTACTGTAGGTAAAAGCTTCATTTCTACTATCATATCCTAGAAAACAAAACAAAAAAGACGATGATACATATTTTTTATCATTAAAATGAGCCATTGTATACCGCTATTTCGTTGAATGTTTGTGATCTAAGAGAGCCATCTAAATTCGCCATGTGTTTTCGTCACTCTACAATATTTATCACACTCTATAAAAAAAATATACGCATTACTAAACTCTCTGATCTGATCTCACTATTTTCTGAGAAACAGATGCAGGGCACGTTTCTGCTCAAATCAAGAAAATCTATATTTAAACCTCACATTTTTCTACGTCGGAACTTGGATAAAGACAATTAACCACCTTAATCGTTGAGTGGTGCTTCCCCTTCACTTTTTATGAAAAATATTCATTTATCTCACTTCCAGTATTTTGGGCCTTTTTCTTATCTTGAAGGAAAAACCCACGTGTCTAATTGTTTTCTGATTGATCACGCACTTAATAACCATTTGAACCCCGAGACTTTTCTTGGATAGTTTTCTGTGAATTGGGTATCTAGAGATTCACTATGAATTTTCAGCTGAACACATTCTTGTGGTTTCACATTGTAGAGTACGTCAAATTACCTGCACAGAAAAGTTTTTGGAACTATCAAACAAGTTTTCACCCGTCAGAATACAAAAATTTATTTCGCAATGCAATACACAACAAATTATTTCGGCTTCTTACATAACAAAATTTATGTATCTTTTCGAAAATAGTTGAACTTGAGACACTCAGTGGGGAAATACTGGGAACATTAAACTACGAATATCATTAAAAAGTAATCGAGTGAAGTAACATAACATGTCTATATATATAGTCAAAGACACGTCACTAGTGAATGTGCTCTGAAGTTTTTGATAAACTGGAATAATCCCGAATAAAATATTTAAAAATTGAGTGGCTTGAGCATTACATTTTTTGAAGAGTATACAATCAACAATAATAATTTCGTTGACGAGAGCTTTTTATGGAAACTTTCTTGAACTAAGCTTGAATTTTAAAACCGTTCGGATAACAATGTAGAAACTGACTAGAAAATTAGTATCCGAACTGTATTTTATTACAGTGTTTAACCTTAGCTCGGTCAGCGTTTCTAATGACTAGTAGATTAAGCGAAAACAAAATGGATATCCACTTTGAAAAATGGATTTCTATGGTATTTTACACACTAATAGCAAAAAAATCACCCATTATTCTGTACATGTCACATGTGTACAAAAATAAGTATATTAATCTTATTATCTATAACAGTTATTCTATACTTTCTTTAATCTACTGACGTGTTTCATTACAGGTATTATTAGGCCTTCTTGTCTTTCCCCACGAGGTCGCCTAGTACAATTCATTAAGAATTATTATTATTCTTTTTGTGAATGCGATCTGGTAGCTCACTAATTTCAACTATTGTCGATGAAAAAAGCAATGAACTCGGCTTTGCGGAAAACCACATCATAGTCCAAAAAGATGTTTTGGACTATGATGTGGTTGCGTCAGGCGTGGCATTGGGTTTTCAGCGAACCTCAGGATCGGTAACCAGTGACATGTGACAATCATAAAAATGGATGGGGTATATGATTCATTTTAGATTTTCTTTTACTAAAAATTAAAACGTCTTAACTTAGTCAAACTCGATCCAGACTACTTCAGAACATCAAGGTATACTCCGTTTTATCTGCACTTTACTTTGCAGATCAATAAAAGTTTTACAAATCAACAGAAAGTACTTTGGTTTTTTGAAACGTTTCCTATTAATCTTCCGAAATAAGAGATTTGTATTTCATCTTTTTGGACTATGACTTGGTTTTCCAGAAACCCTCTAGAAAATCTACTTTCGAAAAGTTTTCTAAGATTGCTTTCTCTTCTGAAATGAGGCTCCCAAATTCCTCTTTAGAACAGCGGAAGCTGGAGCTATCTAGTTACTCTCTATATAAAGCTATTCAAAAAATGACCGAGTCCGTTGCTTTTTTCATCGACAATATAGTAGATGACACGATAAAACTAATGTCGAAGTGTGCATCTGATGTTCTGGTGCGGAACCTGCCTTTTCTCTAATTTTTTGGTGCTACAAAAAATCGTCGAAGTCTTTTTTGTACCCAAAAATGCATCTTTCATAACATTCGTCTCTAAATAATCTATCTTATGTCCTTAAATCTTCGACAATTTGTCTCATAAAAAAAGTTTTCTTCGTCATTTTGCTTCACCATAGAATCAGAGTATTCATTTCAAGTTCACTCAAAAAGGTCTTTATCTTCTCATTAGCATTGTACATAAACAGATGAGCAGATAAAACGTTAAGTAATGAATTATAATTTTAGATCAGTTGATGATTATTTATCTAAAACAGCAGCAAATTTATCGTTAGCATAACTTTGGTGATGGATTGTTCTTATTTTTTTTTAATTCTGGATGTATAAAGCATAGTTTATGAATTAAAAATTAACTGACGGAGGATAAACAGAAGGAGATTCTTGATCGTTGTCTCTGAATTTTCTGGAATATGTTTTATGAATACATTTTTTACACTATGATATACTCTGAATCTGTGCGTATGAGTCTTTGTCTGAAACGACTTTTCTGTGGCAAAAAGAGTAGAGACAAGCTGTGAAAAATATATAATACAGAGATAAATTTCCGTAGAGACAGATACACTGAGACGAATTAGCGGTTTAGAATTAGTTAGAAAAAAACGATTAATGATTAACACGTTTGAGTTTTGAGCATCTGCACACAATATAGGTTACACATTTCATCATTGGAGGGATGTAACATCAAATTTTAGAGATAATAAGACATTCAGTGATGTTATATGTAGTGATATCTGAGTTTTTCCGGAATTTATATCTCATTTTGAGATACGAAACGCAAATTTTTGTCAGAAATGAACTTTTTGTAGATTATTTGTAAGATTAAGGATACCTCTATTTTGGGCTTTCTGTAGAAATGCTGTGAAATAAAAACTAAAACTCAGTACGGCTTCATATTTTCAGTACTGATTGAAAACTCAATGGAGCACGTGACATTACGACGTGGAGCATGTGATATTCCCTTGAGTACCTCTGGTAAATTTTTAGCTGGATCGGATGGAACTCAG